GGGTGCTTTTCTTATTTGTGTATCTTCGTTTCCTTTCCTTTTGTCTTAGTTCCACCCTCCATTAGGATACACCTGTGAATCCTCCTCACTCATGACTCCACATGTAGCTTCCTCACTCCTAATTCTTTGCCTTCTCGCGGTCCAATTAGGGAATTGAGATGTCCTTCAAGATGACTGAGTTAGGTCATGGGCTAGAGAACGGAGGAGCAAGGAAACGAACAACCATTAATTTTGCTATTGATAAGCACCTATAGTAATGCTCCGTTTAGTTACCATATCCGCGAGTTGTTCAACAAACAATTTGCGTGTATCCCTTGGGTGGGAATTAGTCAAATGAGGAATATTGTGACATGTATATTCCCAGAAGAAAACTATAATTGAGTTGTTTCAGGGAGTTCAGAAACAGTGTGCACTGATATAAAGAAAAGCTCCCTTTGAGGTTTGTGATTTGTAACTCTGCAGGCAATTTTAATGCTCAAACAGCAACATTATACTCAAGAATTAAAAAATTGTAAAAAAATCATAATAGGTCCTCTTTAAAAAATGAATCATGCCTGAATAAATCATTCAGAATGAGATCCATAACATGCATTTCGATAACAGGTGATTTTTCATTTACTCAAATTTGCATTGGTTTAATTGGTTCATAGAATGCTGAAATATTTAACGGACACGTGAAGAAAATGAACAGGAAAAATGCTTCCAAAACCAAGGCAGCTGTCCTTGTCTAGTCCACTGAGATATGTTTGTCACATCTCTGTCATCTGTTCTCATTTGTTCCTGGACCTTGTGTAAGAACAGTGCACTGCACCTCAAAACACCTCTCTTTAACAATAGTCGATGAAGATAGACAGTCTGACATTTTCTCTTACAACAAAAGCAGAATCTCACTGAAAGAGTCTCACAAGGTTTCAATCTTTAATTTAATTTATTCTTTCCTTTTACTCCTTATCTACCTGTTTTCTTCTCTTTCTTTATCACACCTTGTGCCTATTGAATTTCATAAATTAGACTTCCAAGAACAGAGCATTGTGCAGTGCTGACTACACGTGTATAGAGGGCGAATGCCAGACTCTCAGCAGAGAATAAAAGAAATTGCAGAATGAATAGGGTGAGAAAATGACAACAGGAGAAGGAATACTAGTTCCAGGGTGAATTACTGGACGCATGCTGAGAAGAGTGATTGAGGGACGACTGAACTCAGGGCTGCAGGTAGACTGACTTTAGGATGCAAGGAGGAAAATATAGATGTCAGCTTTTTATTTTTCCCCTTGATATTATCCCCCATCATAGAGTCTGTCCTCCATGCTGAATCTCTATCCACACACACTCACACACATAAAAAGCACATTTAAGGACTCTCTCACTGCACAAACTGATTTAAAGAGTGTAACTATGGCTTTATAATGAAGACCATCATCAATGCAGAGAGGATCATTACCTCCTCGTCTCTCCACAAAAATGACTAAACATCACACTTCCCTTTACACTGTGCCCACACATCTTTTTCAATACATCTAAAAATCTTTTTCAATAAACATTTATATAAAAACATTAAAATCGAAAAAAGTTATTTACATTTTGATAACATTTGACACAATTACTGTTTTTATTGTACTTTCGATCAAATAAGTGCAGCCTTGCTGAGCAGAAGAGTCAACTTACCATATTAGCAGTTTTTTAACATTGTTGTTTTTTTTGTTTTGTTTTTTACATTGTGAGCCATACGTGACATTTAAATTGCATCTAATAGTGCCGACGTGATGACGTCACTCTGTAGGACAACTCAGAAGCTAGCGGTGCATAGGTTCCCTCGATCGAAAAGCTATGCATTTTCCCCAAAGACTTTTTTAAAAACACAAGCAGACACAATAAAGTTTAAAAAACACAAGGTTATAACTGTGTGTTCTATGTCATAGATCAAAACGTGAAAATATTTAGAGGCTTTGTTCACCACAGACCTTATTTCAGGCGATATAGCAAAAACCCATTCAAAAATCCCATAGACTTTAGAGAGAGGGAACCGGTAGTGCTAAAATGCTAACTCACTTCCGTGTTTTGGCCTACAGAGTGACGTTGTAACTTCGGCACTATATTGACTTTTCGCAGGGAGCTTGATTGACAGGTGATCTGACCAATCATACTTCACCATCCACCATTTTGTCCGACAAAGTAGTCAGGAGAGTTAGCAGATTAACATGGGATGATTTGAACTTGAAAAACGGAGTGTACTGACGCCTTTCTGCGGTTAAAACAACATTCCTTCTTATCTTCATTCTTGTTTATTTGATGCTATAAATGAACTAGAAGGAAGAGATGATCAGATCACAAGCAGCTTTAACTGATGCTATTTGAAAGTTGATACTTTGTTTGATATGTTTAATAATCAAAAGTAACCGAAAAGTAACCTGGTCTAAACTGTCTGTCAGGGTGTTGTCCGCCCGCAATGAATTTTTCACTGAGTGAGAACATGGTGTGTGTGTGTGAGAGAGAGCAGCGTAGCTTGTCGAACATTGCGACTAGTAACTAAGGGGGGCGGGTCTTTGCGACTGGTCAATTCTGGTATGTGTTCAGGTTTATGTGATGACATCTAACATGTAACTAGCTGTAATATTACTCAGTTATCAATTACTAAACCATTAGGTTTTCAGTGACAGCTTATAGACAGCTATAGCAAATTTTGCAGTAATTTTAGCATTTAATATTTCACTTGTGAATCTAACATTATATTTTACATTTCAATGTACATATAAACTGTAGACTGTGGTGCTTTGCTAAATTAACATAATTTACATAAGAGCGCAAACATTAAAGTACACACCATGTGTGAGTCATTTCACTCGTGAAAATGTCCTTGTAAGTTGAATCTTTAATTACTTAAAAAGCTGCATACTAATCATACGGCTGCAACAGCAAACATGACTGATGTTTACAGAAGAATTAACTGAAACCGGGAAATATACTCTCCAGACTGCATTAAAAATAGGTGCATTTCAACAGAAGACCTGCATCAGAGAACAAAAACATCCACATTTAGTCAACAGCCTCAATGATGCCACTTATCTAGCAGCTTTCACTGTCTTTGCTTTTAAAAAGCAAAGCAGTTTGAAACAACACAAAAGGCAAGTGGTTGTCGGTTTTCCTTTCAGCACAACAGTAAGACACTGGAGAACTGAGTTGGAGTACCGAAGGGGGAGAACAGAACAGTCAGAAAACAAAGAGCTATAGCAGATACTACTGGTAAAACATGATGGCTGTACTGGACAAGAAAGAATGAGAGTGCAGGAAGATGATTACAGTAAATACTGTGTGAAGAGAATTACAGATGATTTACAGATAAAGAGTTCTTTATTCACTGTCAGAAAAAAAGGTACGAAAGCTGTCACTGGGGCGGAACCTTTTCAAAAAGGTACACTTTTGTACCTAAAGGGTGCATATTGGTACCATAATTGTACAAATATGCACCCTTTAGGTACAAAAGTGTACCTTTTGAAAAGGTACCGCCCCAGTGACAGCTTTCGTACCTTTTTTTCTGAGAGTGTTGGGATCGATGGATCTATGAAGAACATTTAACATCCATGGAAACTTTCCATTGCGCAAAGGTTCTTTATAGTGGAAAATTGTTTTTTAGATACTAAAATGTTCTTCACACTAAGAAAAATAATAGTTATTTTAAGATCTAAGATCTCACCAAAAGGTTTCCCAAATTCTTCTAATGCCGGGTTCTGACATTCGGCGTATGATTTGTAAGCAACAATGGGCATCGGGATTCAAGAATCAATCGTTTCATCTTGTATATTGCGTGTCATAGTAGACGACAACCAGCGTCCTGCGTCCTCACAATGTCCCGACAGAAAGACTAGCATGTTTCACTTTTTTTCTGGTCCTCCATGACGGGTTCCGTCACATCTGTGACGTTGACCAATAGGAACACAGAACCTTTTTCGTAAACAGATTTTAAACATGGCAAAACGAAAGAGAAATTGTATTGGTGCTGTGGAATTATGCAATGGAGGACAAGTTTGTGGAGCTATGAATCAATACTTCTGCCTTTATGATGTTTCCTTGTGGAACAAAGATAAATGCTGACGAACGATATAGCGAAGGCACTTTAACCTGTTGAGTACTGGAATTAGCATTAAGCAAGTAGCCTACAACTATTGTTTGTTACACTCTTGTGAAGTTAGTCGCAAGTCCCGCCTCCATAATGACATCGCGTTTAAGACTGTTAGCAATGATTGGTCGGGAAGCAACAAGTACTGTAGTTTGACACGTTTCTTGTCCATGACAACAATTTGGGAGTCAAAATCATATAATCTGACACAGTGACTATCGTAACAGACAAAAATATTTTGTAGTCTTAACCCAGCAAACAAATTTAGGATCTGGGAATGTTAGTTTTTGGTTCCCAGAATGTTCCTAGAACTTTCCCTTAAGGTTAAGGGAACGTTCCCAGAACATTCTCCTTACGTTATAAAAATGGAACCTTAAAATAACCTACATGGAACGTTCCCATAACGTTCTTGTTTGGTTCCAAAAAAAAAAAAACCTCATGGGACCATTCGGGAACGTTAAGGGAACGTTCTGTGTTTGCTGGGAATCCAGCATAGCAGGGGCGGCTCGCCCATAGAGGGCGCTGGGGCGCCGCCCTCCCTCCGACCTGTCTGTCTGTTTTTTTTATATATATATTATAATTTATCATTTTGAAAAATAATCTGTGTTAATTATATGCTAATAATGGTTTTACTTTGAAAAGTGTTTTGAACTCACCAGAATGATATTTGCATTCACTTTCGTTACTTTTATCATGTTGGTGTAGTAGTATAGCCAATAGGCTGTCTTCTCAGGGCGCCAGTTCGCTCAGCCCCACAGTGCTGGAATTTAAGCCAATGGTTCCCCGGTTGCTATGCAAAAAAGTTTATATTTCGCCAATCAGCGTCGTCAAATTTTATGGTTTGGGGGCGCTGAAAATATCGCCCACAGTATCAGATTAGCGGGACATTTTTTTACCTCAGATGAGAGCAGAATGGCAGTGCCAGTGACGTCGAGTGGAAATAGTGTAAAGTTAGTCGTGGGAATTGACCTTGCCCCAAATGCAGTTAAATCTCTACAGCTGTATCCATTCGAAAGAAGAACTTTAGCAGAAAAACTCGTTGTAAAAGAACTCGGACCAGACAAGCCAGACGTGAATATATACCAACAGGCGCGAGAAAAGGAGAAAACCTACAAAAGAACATTTTCCAGAGGTTGGTTCGATCGAAAGTCTTGGCTAACTAGCTGTGGTTACGCCAATGCACTATTTTGCTTCCCTTGCTTACTTTTTAAAACAAGTGCTTGTGATAGCTCGTGGACACAGACAGGGGTGACAGACCTGAAACATATGTCAGAACGCATTAAGAAACATGAGCGGACAAGAGTGCATATGGACAACTCTCTGAAGCTAGCCATGTTAGGCCGAATTAACATAGCCACACAGTTAGATGAGGGACACCGCATTGCCATAAGAAGGCACAACGAGGAGGTGGACAGAAATCGGCATATTTTGTCAAAGATCATTGATGCCGTGAAATTTTGTGGTGCCTTTGAACTTGCCTTGCGCGGTCACGATGAGAGTGACGCATCAGAAAACCCTGGCATTTTCCTGGGTCTAATTGATCTAATGGCCTCAATCGACCGCGAGTTGGAGGTACACCTGGAGAACGCTACTGTTTTTAAAGGCACTTCGAAGACCGTGCAAAATGAACTGTTAGACTGCATGTTGTCAGTTCTCAGAGACCGCATTCTGGAAGAGGTGAAACACTCGGACTATATTGCCATTCAGGCAGACGAGACAACCGACATCTGCACTCATTGTCAGCTCGTGCTTGTGTTACGGTACATAGATGGTCACAATAACATTCAAGAACGCTTTTTTGAGTTTATTGCGCTTCCAAATGCGACCGCTGATACGATTGCCACTGCGTTATTGGAAAGGCTGAGCACCATTCTTCCTGCGGGACAAGAGAAAAAATTAATTGCCCAGGCCTATGATGGTGCCGCAGTGATGAGGGGTGCTACTGGTGGAGTGCAGCGTAAAGTGCAAGACGTCTACGGGAGTGCATACTACGTTCACTGTTACGCGCATCAGTTGAACCTCATAATGCAGCAGGCAACATCTCACATCCCAAAGATCGGTCAGTTTTTTTCAGACATTGGGGGGTTTTCTGCCTTTTTTTCCAAGTCGTTCAAACGAACGGCAGTGCTGGATGAAGTGGTGGCACACCGACTTCCAGGTACTTCAACAACGCGATGGAACTTCCATAGTCGTGCTGTTAACACAGTTTACGAGCACAAAACTGAACTGATTAAGTGCTTCCAAACCATTCGAGACAGTGGAGACTTTGATGCCATATCGAAAAGAGAGGCCGGGGGTTGTATGAGAATGTTGGAAGATGAGGTTTTCTGTTTCATTCTGGCGTTATTCCACAAAGTTATGCCACATGTAGACATGCTGTTTAACCATCTTCAGAAGAGGAACATAGACTCTGTCTTCATCGCAGGGATCACCCAGAGGTTCACTCACAGCATCCAGGCTATCAGGTAGGCTATGATTGGGCATATTAGCCTTAACAATAAAAACATAAAACCATATAGCTGAGTACAATATAACTTATTATAAATATCACCATTTTGCCACCATGTTAGACTAGTGAATTTATTTGTGATGAATTTAGATAACATTGACTAGGCCCAAAACAATAATTGCACATATTTTAATACAGTTTTATTACAATTATCTTTCTATCTCCAGCAAGTTAGTTTCTGATACAGTAATTTCAGGGTGGACAGTGACTTGTGAAACTTGTTTTGGATCAGGGACTCCGTTCCTTCTCTAGTTGAGGATGAGGGGTATAGGGGACCTGTACAGGAACCACCCCCGAAGAAACGGAGGGCAATGGGAGAAGAAACGCAACAGCATCTGGCAATAGAGGTAAGCAGTAACAAAAATTCTATTTCTGTATTCTATTAGCCTATATGTATTTGTGTTTGTTTGCACATTTTTGTATTCTGAATTATTCATTATTAGAGACATATCTATCTACTGGAGAATGCAGAAATTATGATATTTTTTTTTCACATTTATGCATTTGATAATTATGGTGTGAGTGAGAGAGTGACAGATAGCCAATAAAGCTTATTGAGATTGTGTGTGCGTGCGTGCGTGTGTGTGTGTGTGTGTGTGTGTGTGTGCATGTGTAAGAAAATGATACTTGTATGATAGTGAATTATAATTAATAAAATTTACTTGCTCATAACAAAATTGTAACTGCTATAAAATGCTGATTATATTGTATTGTTGAAATGAGAAATGTGAAAACTTCATGTGTCCGGGTTTACTTTTCTACTATTATGTATCATTTCATAGGTATGTGATACCATTATGAGCCATGCCAAGGAGAGGTTTTCTTTCACCAAGCATCTCATCAGCGCCACTCTCTTGCAAGGAGACTTGTTCCCTCAACACAGCAGAAAGTTCCCAGATTCAGCACTACAAACCACAGTGGATGCCTACCCCATGTTGGACAAAGCTAGACTTAAAACAGAACTGACCCTAATCTACGAAAATGAGGACTTCCAGGGTTGCAGTGGTGCACTGGCTCTCTTTCAGGTTCTAATGGAAAATAACCTTCAAGACACATTCACTGAAACTGTAAGTCTTCTCAAGATCCTCATCACCACACCAATGACAACTGCAGAATCAGAGAGGTGCTTCTCAACTTTGAAGAGGATAAAAACTTTCCTCAGGAACACTATGGCACAAGATCGCCTCAACGCTCTGGCTATGCTCTCTATAGAGAAAAAACTCACACGGGACATTCCAGATTTCAACACAAGGGTCATTGAGAGATTTGCCACTCAGAAAGATAGACGAGCAAAGTTCCTGTACAAATAAGAGTTCCCCATCCCTTTTAACTCACTCACCCCCCGCACTCACTCACACATTCACTCCATCTACCTCTCTCATTCACACAAATCTAACTGTCACAGACACCATACCTTAGTCTCTCTACTCCTTTACTCTGTCTTCCTCTCTCTCACACACACTCGCCCTCCATCTCTCCAACTCACTCACTTCGAACCACACACACACACACACACACACACACACAGAGAGGGTCATTCTCTTATCTCTATCACTCTCTTTCTCTCTCTCTCACACACACACACACACACACACACACACACACACATGATCATTCTCTTATCTCTATCACTCTCTCACACAAACACACACACACACACACACGGTCATTCTCTTATCTCTATCACTCTCTCTCTCTTACACACACACACACACACACACACACAGAGGGTCTCTTATCTCGATCACTCTCTCTCTTACACACACACACACACACACACACACACACATACGTGGTCATTCTCTTACTCACAATTCAATTCAGAAAGGTTTATTGGCATGACAAAAAAATAAATTTTGTATTGCCAAAGCGTCAAAACAACATACTCACTCTCACTCACACACACACGCGGTCATTCTCTTACTCTCTCTCACCTGTATGTTTGCTTTGTTTTTTGATGTTTTTAAGTTCTGAGCTAGATTACTGTGTTTCATACTAGTTAAAATCAACTTTCTTCTCATACTTGGGTGTTACCCGCAAGAATGTTGTCCCACCCTCTCTTTCAGAGCTTTTTCTCTCTCTCTTTCGCTAGTATCAACACATTGTTATCCATTATCCAATTGTCAGTTTGTCAAAAATATGTAGTCTACAGCTGGGCATTGATTAAACTAGATTGTTGTATTACCTATTATTTTTTGTATTACCTATATTATAATTGATCAATATTTTGATCAAAAGTTTGCACTTTTTCTGTCAGCACACAGAGCATAATAAACATGCAACTTGTTCATTATCATTAACTGTCAAACTGTTATTATTATTATTATTATTGTATTATTTGACCATTGGTATTGACTGGTTTAAGTTATTTTATTGGTATAGGTAAGGGCATGGCCTAAGGCCTAAAATGCACCAGAATGCAGGAAATCACATCTACTAAATTAAAAATTTTCTGGGGGGGGACCCCCAGACCCCCCTCTTATTCAGCCCCCCCTCCAATATTTTTCACCAGCCGCCACTGCAGCATAGGTGATCACTGTGAAAACCCCCCTTTTGGAACCAGTTAGCGAGACTTGAAGGAGCAATTGCATTTTATTTTGTTCTAATGTGCTGGAGAGAGAATATAAAATCAGTGACACCACAACAATAAACTGTCATGGAAAAAGACTCTCTGAAATTCAAATAACAGCATTAGAGTCGCTTCATCAATGATGTGTAAGAGTATGTAATCAGAATTTCTGTCAATCCAGAAGTAAAATGACAGATTATTTGACAGAAATGAGTCAGAAAACTGAACACAGCTCATGAATATCCATTAAAGCAATGTCTAGTTTACTTGCTTTAAATGAAACTCTGAATGTCTTTCAAAGATTTGATGCCAGCCACATGAGAATTCGAGATACTGAGCCAAGATAAAAAGGAAACCCAGGAAACCATTTCCAGAGTCTATTGGGTTCAACTCATTGCCCCTGGTCGTTTAGCTAAAGGGTTCATTGTTTTCGTTGTATACTGATAGGTTGTGCTGATTAGAAAAGAGCTGTTTTCTCATAATAAAGTCAGCAGCTGTGTGAGCTTGATTAGACTCACAGATGGATGGAACCCAAAACCCCTGTCAAAATGGGGAGGAAACCCCAAAGGAGTCTGTTTGTTTTTGAACAATATTTCTGAGTCGATTCTCCCAGAGTGAATGTCACCAGCCAGCGAAAACCTCCATTGATCTCCCTCCAGGAGCATCTATTTCTCCATAACTCAAGCATAAATGTCACTCTGCGAGGAGACAGCAACACGCTGACTTCAGCTGTTCTGAATGCTGCTGGGCGTAACTGTAAATGTGTGAAAGAAGAGGATGTACAGATGACATCAGGGGGAAAATCATTGCAATGATCGTAAAAACTGAGAATTTACAAGAGTGGTACACACTGATGTGATCTATGTATTACGAGACAGCATTAAATTTAACTACAACAGATGTTCGCTAGTCATCAAGGTATTTCATAGAAGTCAAATGCAAATGTTTTTATTTTTTTGGGTATTCATGCAATATATGGGTGTTCATACAATCAATCAATCAATCCATCCATCCATCTAATATCAAAAACAATATCATGAATATCATGGTTTTTTTTTTGGAGGTTATTCCATTTGACACCTGAAAACCTGAACTAACCTTGCCATGTCATAAAAAAAATCTCAATTAGTGACCTTGATACACAGTTTTAAGGACCAACTGTGTTCTTCTCTGTAATATAATTTGATGTTTTATGGATTTATTGACAACAACAAAATGGCTTCGGTTGTCAATAACCAAAATGGTTGGTTATGCCATTTTTTTCTTAAAAATTAAACATTTCTTCTCCACTAAAAGATCATTTTAATTCAGAAATGGAAAGCTCATTATAAAAGAGCTGTATCCAAACCATAGTCTGTATGAATTCGTTTTTTAATGCATTTTTGGACAACTTAATCAAAAACAGTGACATGCTATTGACCCTATGTATTTGACAACCCCAAGAGTCAGAGAATCTAATTAAAATTTCTAGCTGAAGGCTAATTTTGTAAACATCATTAACTTTGTCCCCAGGACGCTAGATGACATATATTTGCATAAAGCACATTTATCTTACAATGCAAACAACCTGAGAGGATCATACATCAGCTCCAGAATTAGATGCACACACTGAAAATACCTTTCACAGGCACACAATGCTTGTTTTAGAGGCTTGCATGGTGAATAGATGTTATCGACCACACAAACTGCTGTGGGAATGTGCCTCCACAATGACTAATCCCACTCATGATAGCTAATGTGTCGTTATACTCAATCAGGAAATCATGGTTTAAACCAATTGTGCCTGCAAGTCCACATAATACAATACTTTACCTTTGCTCTGTATGGTAGATAAATGGTTGCATATGGTAGGCTGGGAATTTGAACAGAGATTTTTTCCTCATAATAATGCAAGTGTAGCAATCTTTCTCAAGATAAAGCCAAGCTTTGACTTTATGACCTGCCCCCACACAGACACACTAAACCCATGCATACAGTCCTGGTGCTGCTCACACAAAGAGAGGAGCATGCTGGGAGACCGCGAACTGGAAATGAGCAGGGATGAGAGGATGTGTGGAAAAAGAGAGCAACAGAGCTTAAGAGAGAGCACAAACCACATCAAGGCCTCCGTCTAGTATTACTGTTAGCTGGTTACGTTAGATGAAAGGCATGTCAAACAGCATCTATATAACTTTGGCAATCTAGCAAAACCATGTATGAGCAAGAATTCAAGGCACTTAAATGCACAGCTGTGCACTATACTATCACATGGGCATGATATCATGATGTCTAGCCAAAAGAAGAAAAACTTATATATAATTATATTTTATTATGTCTGCTTTTACCTGAAATGACAAGATGTTAAAATCATAAAGAAATGTATCTAAATTTTTCACATTTTCTACACTCTAAACAATGCTGGTGGGTTGTTTTAACCCAAATTTGGGTAAAATATGGACAAACCCAAATGTTGGGTTAAAAATGTCATTTCAAATTTTAACCCAACTTCAACTTTCACTTTTTAACTATATATTTTTTTTTATAATTGCATTTTTAACCCAACATTTGGGTTTGTCCATTTTTGACCCAAATTTGGGTTGAAACAAACCAGCATTTTTAGAGTGTATAAACATTTTAATGCAGTGAAAGTATTATTTTTAATATCTTATTTATCTCATTTTTATAATATAGAATTCCTCATTGCAAAATAAACAGGTTCAAACAAAATTGTGTGCAGGTATCTACAATATTAGATTGATGAATTTGGATCAGTTTCTGGCCACAATTTACTATATATATTTTTGTCTACATGTCATGTTTAGGGCTCCACATCCAAATGTAACTTTATCAAGTAATAAATCCGAAATTCATGATGATGGAAGGATGTTTAATGCATATTAGAGTAGTTACAGAATAATACAAGACAAATGAAGGCCCGTTTTATTTTGTCCTTTTAAATGGAAATTTGAATGCTAAAAAAAATCAGTTTGGTTTGCCCTAAAGCCTTGAGCATTCTGGGTATGTATTTAATGTTTGAAGTTTAAAAGATGATGTCAGAGCTAATGAGCACACGTCCTCTCTAAAGTATGCAATGGCATGATGTCCTTTTCTTAAGCTTTTCTCTTCCCTCATTAATTTGTCTTTTATTTTTCCCTCCACTTTTCTTTTCTATCGACATTCTTGCCAAACGCAGTCTGAATTTCCCACAGACAACAGCATTAGTTACTTCCAGACAATAGAAATGCTTTTTTAAGTGAGAGCAGTGAGGACAGAGAGGAATTCCTCTCTGCTAAATTCTCCCATGGGTCTCTCCATGGAGTCTGTCCTGTTTCAAACATCTCAGTTATATGGGTCAGAGAAGCTTTCACAAATATGCAGATGAAACTTCCAGTGCACTACAACAGCTCTCAAACACACTGCATGCTTTCTGTTATGAATTTTAGTTATTATTTTAATAAATATTAAAAAAAACATCTGCCTGTCTGACCATTTGACTTCAAAACTAGCTCATGTTGTTTATGGTCTCCCAATATATCCATCGGAGAAAAAGGGAATGCCGTCCCATCTGTTTATTCTTGCTCATTTTTCTCCTTTATTGGAATGGAATGTCAGTGATGTCAGTCTATTCTAATGCATCACATTCCAGGTTCTATGGAGCTCTCAGTTGAAGGCAGCGCTGCATGAGGCCTCAGGAGTGTGCTCTCAATGACACACACACACAAAGGAACAGAGTGTGTGAATGTGAGAGAGCTCTTAAAAGTTCCAAAGAGCCACACAGATTCATCTGTAGCAGTGGGATAGAGACTAGATGAACTGCAAATGTGTTTTTGTGAAGGGGTGTAATAGCATTCTTTTTCCCAGTTCAATTCAGAGACTAGCTAGACTTGGCTAAAAGGCTAAGCTGAGAAAAACGGATCAAAACAAGGGTGAAGAAGCAGCAGAAACACGCACATGGAAAAAAACGTGATCTGTTATCATCAATGCTAACGCCCGTTTCACACATACTCCGTGTGCAGTGCGTATGC